ACTCTCACATCAGAACAGGGATGTGACACACCCTTACCTCCTCACAACTGATTGGCTGATCCCATGAGATCCCATCATGGGGGATGGCTACATTGGTATTGCTATTGTTCCATGCATAACGACCTCACATGTACAACAGAAAGAAACAGAAAAAAACCTGGTACTACGGCATCGTCACAATCTTTGTTAAGCTTGAGCCCATTGCTGTTGCCACTGTACTAACCCATCTCGTTGGGGGTCTTCATTATAGAATTGCCAAATTAGGTCATTACGTATTTGCCACATCAGCTAAATTGACACATGTTTTGGGGAGACACATTTCAATCCATGACAGTTGCTGTCGAGTTTATTCTGACCTGTACTGGCTCCTCATGTTGTTGTTATGTGCCATCGAGTCAGTTCTGACCCTGAACAGGGTTTCTGAGGCTGTATATCTTTATGGGAGCAGAAAGCCTCATCTTTTTCCCCCAGAGCAGCTGGTAGTTTCGAACTGCTGACCTTGAGGTTCACAGCCTGATTCGTAACCACTATGCTACCAGGTTCCTCATGGGTGAGAATAAACTGTGATACATGGGGTTTTCAAAGCAGAACTTTTAGAAGCAGAACGTCTGAGACACTTCTGGGGGGATCTGAACCATCAGCTCTTCAGATAGGAGCTGAGTGCTTATCTGTTGTGCCACCAGGGCTCTTTAGACGGCACCTAGAGAAAAAAAATATAATTTAGAAAACAAAAAGCCCCTCCCACTGTTGTCGAGTCAATTCAAACTCATAATGACCTTAGGACAGAGTACAATTGCTCTATAGGATGTGGTGCTGTGGGATAATGCACTGGACTGCAAGGTCGGTTTGAAGCTTAAGTTTGGCGGTTCAAGTTCACCAGCCGCTTATAGAAGTAGACTGCCTCATCTTTATACTGTAGAGCAGCTGGTAGATTAGAACTGCCAACCTTTAAAAACTATTGTTGTTGTTAAGTGCCGTTGAGTTGGTTCTAACCCATAATGACCCTGTATAGGGTTCCCAAGGAGTGACTGGTGAGTTTGAACCGATGGTCTTGTGGTTCAAACCAATCTTGTAATCCAGTGCTTATCCTATAGAGCCACACCAGAACTCCTAAAAACTATATCCACCACAAAAAAATGGCAATTTTGGCATCCTGAAGGAACTCAAATGATGTTCCTTTTCAATGTTCTTTGTGTTTGAGAACAAAAAGAAGTTTGAGACGAAGATCAGAGCTTAGGGTGGATGATGTAAGGGTTAGGGCAGCCCTTGTTTCCATAAAAGAATGAGCAAGACTATGTCATGATGCAAAAACAAAAAATCCCCAGCACGATTTTCCTGGCCTTTTCTGTACCCGTATAATTTTCAATTTTCTTAAAATGTTTTTATAATAAGCCCCTGTAATCCTCCTATGTCCTTTGAGAAAGTCTATCTAGATTAGCTAAGAGCCCTGGTGTGCCGCTGTAGGATCAGCACTGGACTGTTAACCACAAGTTGGTAGTTCAAACCGACCAGCTGGTCCTCGGAAACCCTATACAGGGTCACTATGAGTCAGAACTGACTCGATGGCGTTTAACAACAGTTTCCAGTAAACGGTCACCATAACCTTCTGAGCTGACCTCTTTGCCTTGAATTCATTTCTGAGATCTGCCCAACCTTCCTGTAAATGTTTGACCCATCTAAACAACTGCTGTTTTATGTGGGCCAGAATTCCTGTAAACTTCTTGTGTTGCAAAGCTTCAATGATTTGGGAAGATGTCTACTTGTGTTTTGTTAAAAATTTGATATTAGTTATGACTTCAAAATTGTTTTTTTTTCATGCCATAAAATGTATTCTTTTTTCTGAAGGCACCTTACCGAGATGAAGACAAGTGTTATGTACTACTGAGAAAACTTGTTGGCAGCCATCCACTGATCTGAGACACGTGTTTAAATTTCAACATTTTATTTGGAATAACCCTGTGCATAAATGAGCTGGAACTCTAATATAAATACTTTTTGACTTATCCTCAAATTTGCATAGGTATAGGTATCTGCATGGGATTATGGTGGCATCATATAATAAGCACTGGACTGTGAACCACAAGGTCCTCAGTTTGGATCCGCCAGCTGCTCTAAGTGAGAAAAATGAGGCTTTCTGCTCCTGGGAAGATTGAAAGCCTCCCACACCCTATACAGGGTTGCTATGAGTCAGAACCGACTCCATTAACAACAACAAATATATTTGCACATGGTCCGTTTGAACTGCAAGGTCTGTGGTTTGAGCTCACCAACCGCTCTTCAGAAACTCTATTCACTGTTACTCCATGGCACTTAACAACAACATTCCATAGTAGTTAACAACAACAACAATATAGAGAGATGGAGTCCCGGTGTGGCGCTGTAAGATAAGCACTGGACTACAAAGTCAGTGTGAACTACAAGGTCAGTGGTTCAAACCCCACCCACCAGCCATTACTCAGAAACCCTGTCAGGGTCGCTATGAGTTGGAACCGACTTGACGGCACTTAACAACAACAATCTTAAAGCATACTTTCAGAATTGTCTTTGCTATGAACTACCTATGGCAAATTCTCTCTTTTTAAAAACAGTACTGTATTTGCATTTATTTTTGGAGCCTGATACTATACCAGACTAGTTTCTAAGTGCCTCAATCTAATTCTCATTACATGTGGTCCTTACACGAGGAAACAGTTCCATGAGACAGGATGCTGTACCTATCTATTAGGTGCCTCTCCGTTGCTTTATAAGGAGCTCTGGTAGCGTAGTGGTTACGAATCGGGCTGCGAACCTTAAGGTCAGCGGTTTGAAACTACCAGCCGCTCCGCGGGAGAAAGATGAGGCTTTCTACTCCCGTAAGGATTTACACCCTCGGAAACACTGTACAGGGTCGCTATGGGTCAGAACCGACTCGACGGCACTTAACAACAACAACAACAACTGTTGCTTTGGCACTTGGTCTGAAACACAAACAAAACGTTGACAACTTGTACAAAATGAATGAATGAATAGTGAGCAAAGTGAAACAAAATTTTTAATTAGATAGAGAAATTTAGAGTTGGCTCAGTAGGTTAAGCATTGAGCTGTTACCTGCAAGGTCAGTAGTTCAAACCTACCAGCCACTTCAAGGAATAAAGTTAAAAAGATTTATAGTTCCAGGAACCCCATGAAACATTTATACTCTGTCCTGTGTGGGGTCTTGGTGTGGGGCTGTGGGTTAATGCGCTGCACTACAAGGTGGGTTTGAACCACAAGGTCGGTGGTTCAAGCTCACCAGCAGCTCCTCGGAAACTCTATACAGGGTCACTATGGGTGGGAACCGACTGAACAGCATTTAACAACAACAACAACATACGGGCTTGCTATGATAGTGGGGTTTGCAAACACTTGAAATAGTAAGAAAGATGATGTAATAGTTTTCGTCCTAGACTTTAAAAAATAACATTTGCTAATTACAAACGTGAAACAGCTTAGCTGACGTCTTGGGCTGGACAATTCTTGTTGCGAGAACTGTCCTGGGCATTGTAGGCTGTTTAGCGCATTGTTGACCTTGGTCCACTAGATGTCAGTAGCACGCTCCAGCCCTCACCCATCTCTCACAACTGAAAACCTCAAAATGTCCTTCAGGTTGAGAACCACGAACACGAAGGAATTTAAAATAACAACTTGCAATCCTATTACTTAAAAATTTTAACGTTATGCTTACATAAATAAGAAGCACAAAACCCGGCCACAGTGTACTTATTATCCTACTTTTTTTAAGTGCTGTGAGTTTGTTCCAATTCTTAATGACCTTGTAAAGGGTTTCCGAGGAACGGCTGGTGAGTTTGAACTGCCAACCTTGCGGTCCAGCGCATTATCCTGCAGCGCCGCACTGGGATTCCCTACTGTCTATAGCTAGGTGTTTTTTGTTTTGTTTTGTTTTCTTCTTTTTACTCAATAAAACAGGATCAACATTTTTGTTATGTGGTATCCCTTTAAGGAGTCCTGGTGTGGTTCTGAACTGCAAAGTCGGTTTGATCCGCAAGGTCGGTGGTTCAAGTTTACCAGCCGCTCCTCGGAAACCCTATAAAGGGTTGATATGGGTCTGAACTGACTCGAAGGCACTTCACAACAACAACAATAGGGTTTCTGAGGAGCGGTTTGTGGGTTTGAACCGACAACCTTATGGTCCAGTGCTTATCCCACAGCGCCACACCAGGACTCCTATCTCATGAATAGTGCTACCGACTTGACCGCACTTAACAACAACAAATGCATTTGAAGGAGCCTGCTGGCACAATGAGTAAGCGCTGGGCTGCTAACTAATTTTGATGGTTGGAACCCACTCAGCAGGCTCCATGGCGGCGGACACCCATCAAAATTACAGCCTAGGAAATCCTACGAATCCATTTTGTCTCATGGGGTCGCTGTGAGTCGTAATACTCCACGAACAGACAACAAATGTATTTGACTACTTCCTTAGGACAATGTCTTTTAAGTAGAATTGCCTCTCAAATTAGAGACAAAGTAAATTTGGTGCTGCCGGTTGGGACAGTGATGGATTTCAGTAACATTCATTCGGTTCTTTCTTGTCAATAGCTCCTTGTGGAAGCGCGACCCATTTCCCTGCGGAGAAATCGGCTACCCAAGAGTCGCCTCTGCTCCTTTTGTCCTCTGTTAGGAGGGCTGCCTTTGGTCCGAGATCTGTGAGCCGTAACACTCCTCCAGTGGAAGGGGGCGCTGTGTGATTCTCGGTGGCACCAGTCCATCCAGGGGTCGCTCTCCCCAGCGAAGGCCCCGTCTCGTCTCGCCTTGCCTCCTCCTCCGGTGGCCCGGCTTGCGGAAGTGTTTCTAGGAGACGGTGCTCGACGGCCGCGCCTGCGCAGTGGGCGCTGGCCAGGGTGGGCTGACGGGTGGAGACTCTGGCCGGTTGACGGAGGCTGGTCGCTTTCGCCGCTGTTTTTTTCCCCTTGCTCCCTGGAGCGCCCGTGAGGCGGGCTGCCGGCAGACGTCTGCTCGAGATGGAGCACATCCGTACGACCAAGGTAGCTGGGGGAGAGAGCGGGTGGAGGCGGGGTGACGAAGGCTCGGCCGCCGGGCCGGGATTGGGAATGGCCCGGCGGGGCTGGCTCGGCCGGGGTCTCGGGGAGAGGACGGAGGGCCGGGGTGTGGTCGGCGCGGACGCACCCCTCGGAGTCGGGGGTGAAGTCTCGGGAAGTGAGGCGCCGCCCTCGCTGCGCCTCACTTTCTCCGGCATATCTGGGGCGGAGGCCGACGTCCCGGCCTCGGATACCGGAAAGCCAGCGCTTCGTTGTCCCGAGTCACCGATTCTGGGCGCAAGTTTTGGGGGAACTGACATCGGCACTAGGACGTGTGTCAGTTTCTTGTTTCCGTTTCCAGCCACTTAGATTTGTTTCTTCGGCTCGTTTGGACTCTAAGGGGTAGTGATTAAAGGGCTCTGCGGTTATCCTAAAGGTCGGCGGTTCGAATCCTCCAGCGGTCCCGTGGGAGAAAGACGTGACAGTCTGCTTCTGTAAAGATTTACAGTCGCGGAAGCCCTATTTAGGATTGATACGAGTCGGTGGGTTTGTTGTTTGGGTTACGAGATACCAGGCACTGGACTAAACACTGGTATACAACAGCGAACTAGATAGACTTCATATGTTGTAGTTGTTGTTAGGTGTCTTCGAGTCGATTCCCACTCGTAGCGACCCTGTATAGGATTTCCGAGACTATAAGTCTTTGCTGGAGCAGAAAGCCTCATCTTCCTCCGCAGAGCGGCTGGTGAGCTTGAACCGCCGACGTGGTGGTTCTCAGTCCTGTGTTACAGAGCCACCGTGCTCCCAGACATCATACAAAAGGCTTCCTCCTTTTCAGTGACCTTCTACGTTACCCAGCCTGATGTCCCTCACCAGGGACTGATCCCTCCTGACCACATTGCCAAAGTACTCGCAGGGAAGAGTCTTCACCTTCCCTTGGAAAAAGCGTTCTGGCTGTACTCCCAACACAGATTTGTTTGTTCTTCTGACAGTCCGTCATATTTTCAGTGTTCTTTGACTGTACCTTAATTCAAATACATCAATTCTTCCCCACTCTTCCTTATTTATTTTCCAACTTTCATGCCTATGAGGTTATTGAAACTAGATTGATCAGGCCCACCTAGTCCCTTAAAGTGACTTCTTTATTCTTTAAGCACTTTAACTTGGTCTTTTGTAATAAATTTAATGCAGTAATAGCGTTTAACTTTTTTTTTTTTTTTTTACTGCTGCTTCCATGAGTGTTGATTGTGGGATCAAGCACAATGAAGTCTTTGTCAATTTCAACCTTCATTAATCATGATATTATTTAATGGTCCAGTTGTGAACATTTTCATTCTGTTTACATTGAGGTGCAATATTTGATTGAAGGCTGCTGTCTTTAATCTTCATCAGTAACTATTTTAAGAACTCTTTGCTCCCAGCAAGTAAGGTTGTGTCATCTGCATATTAATGAGTCTTCTTCCAGGTTCTTTTTTATATAATTCAACTTCTTGGATTATTTGCTCAGTATGCAGAGTGAATAAGTATGGTGAAAGGATACAACCTAGCAGACACCTTTTATGAGTTTTAAACTATTCAGTATCCCTTTGTTCTGATCTAATGACTGCCTCTTGGTCTATGTACAGGTTCCTTATGAGCACAATTAAGCATCTAGAGTACCTATTCTTTGCAATATTATTAATGTTTACTATGATACACAGAGTCAAATTTGTATAGTTAATAAAGCATGAGTAAGCATTTTTGGAAGGAGCTCTGGTAGTGTAGTGGTTACGAATCGGGCTGTGAACCGCCACGTCAGCAGTTCGAAACTACCAGCTACTCCGCGGGAGAAAGATGAGGCTTTCTGCTCCCGTAAAGATTTACAGCCTCGGAAACCCTGTTCAGGGTCGCTATGGGTCAGAACCGACTCAACGGCACTTAACAACAAGAAGCAGTTTTGGAATCCTGGTGTGGCACTGTAGAATAAGCACTGGCCTGCTAAACACGCGGATGGTGGTTCAAATCCACCAGCCGCTCCTTGGAAACCCTAGTCAGAGGTGCTATGAGTCAGAACTGATGCAGTGATACTTAACAACCAGGAGCATCTTTTTGATATTCTCTGCTCTTAGCCAAGATCCAGCTGATGTCAGCTATGTTATCTCCTCTTCTGAATCCAGCCTGAATTTCTTGCAGTTCCCTATCAATGTACTGTTGCAACTGCTTTTGAATTATCTGCAGTAAAATTTCACTTGCATGTAACATTGGTGATAATGTTTGATTATTATTATTATTATTATTTTTTTGGGAATGGGCACAAGTATGGATCTCTTCCAATCGGTTGGCCAGGTAGCTGTCTTCCAAATTTCTTGGCATAGATGAGCGAGCACCTCCAGTGCAGCATCAGTTTGTGGAAAGATTTCTATTTGTATTCCGTCAGTTCCTGGAGCCTTGTTTTTCACTAATGCCTTCAGTGCAGCTTAGACATTTTCTTTCAATACAATCAATTCTTGATCATATGCTCCTTTTGAAATGGTTTAATAGCAGCACTTTTTTTTTTTTCCAATGGCTCTGTATTCCATCTTCTTTTGATGCCTTCCTGCATTATCCAGTCATTTGTCCATTGTTGTTAAGTGCTATCAAGTTTGTTCCAACTCATAGTGACCCTGTGTAGGGTTTCCGAGGAGTGGCTGGTGAGTTTGAATCACTGACTTACGGTTCAAACAGAGTTTGCCATCCAGTGCATTATCCCACAGTGCCACACCAGGTCTCCAGTTTTCCCACAGAATCCTTCAGTATTGCAACTTGATTGAAAATTTTCATTTCTTTTAGCTTGAGAAATGCAGAGCGTTAATCCTTTTGGTCATAACTCCAGGTCATTATAATAAATGAAATTGCACATTTCATTATAATACTTGACTTTGTCATCTCGAGCTGTCCTTTGGAATTTTCTGTTCAGTTCTTTAACTTCATCATTTCTTCCAGTCACTTTAGCTTCTCGATGTTCAAGAGCAAGTGTCAGAGTCTCTTTTGACATCCATGTTGGGCTTTTCTTTCTTTGCTGGGTTTCTAACGACCTCTTGCTTCCTTTATGTATGATGTTCTTGATGTCATCCCATGACTCTTTTGGTCTGTGGTCAGTAGTGTTCAATCCGTGGGCATGCTCAGTAAAGTAGAGCCTGTGGCGAAAAGAGGACGACCCTTGATGAGGTGGACTGACACAGTGGTAGCAATAGTGCACTCCCACTCGGGATGGATGGTGCAGATGGCGAAGGACCAGGCAGTGTTTCAGTCTGCTGTGCAGAGGGTTGCTCTGAGTCAGAACCCACTCACTTGACAGCGCCTGAGAACAGATTCCTCTTTTTGCAGGGTTCTTTCCCGGCGAGGCTCCAGGGCTTGGGATGACATCATATATTAATGTCAAAGGCTATTGTCAAATGCTGTTTGTGAATGGAATTTACCAGATGGAATAGAAGATTGTTTTTTTTTTCCTAACTATAGATGAAAGATTGCTTCCTACCGTTAGTTGTAGAATGGAATGTCCCCATATCTGACTGTCTT